CTGTGGTGTCACTGGGTCAGGAATCTGAACAGGTTAAAAACAGGTCGGTTAACAAGTCTAAAAATGCCTCCAAAAAAAGACACTAAACAGGAAGATGAATATGTGACAATCGCCAGTGTAAATGAACTGCTGCAGCAACAAAAGGCAATGTTTACTGCACCACTGGAACAACAACACAGCAATTTCAAAGGCTTTGTCAAGGTAATAATGGACTCCACCAACACTAGACTGGAATCAATAACCAAGGAACTACAAGAAATAAAAACCAGCCTGCAGGACACACAGAAAGAAGTGGATGACATTCAAACTGAGACAGCAAATCTGAAGGAACGCAGCACCTCGATGCAAACTGATGTTTTTAAGGCCTGTGACAGCTTGTTGGCTGGCAAGCCAATCCAGGCGGAATAACCTGGTATTTGAGGGGACACAGGAGTCACAGGGAGAAACCTGGTCAGAGACGGAGGAGAAGGTCAAACAAGTTGTGAAGGAAAAATTACAGCTGCAACGCGAGGTGGAGGTGGAGCGGGCCCACCGCACAGGAAGACCTGGAGGAGACCGACCGAGGCCGACTGGTAAAACTCCTAAAGCACAAGCACAGAACGGAAATACTGCAAAGGACCAGAAATCTGAAAGGTTCCAGAATTTACATAAACGAAGACTTCAATGAGGCAGTCAGAAGGCAAAGGAAAGAATTCATGCTGGATTTAAGAGCAGCGAGAGAATTACAGGACAAACTGATCATTCATCCCAGGTCCAGCACACCAAAACAACCAGGGCCAGCTAACGTTAATACATTAACAGGTAGGCCTATAGAATGTTGAAACTCACTATGTCATTAAATAAAATTCACACACATACCCGAGAAAGTCACTCACTACAAAGTCTGGTTGAATATGAGCTCCTGGAACTAAACACCTTCCAGTAAACTGAACATCATTCACAGGAAATGGAGAATGACACTGATCCTGAGAACAATGTCTTTGCTAACTGCAACTATTACACTGATGAGCAACTTAATAGGTCAATCAAGACCGAACAGCAATTATCCATCATCCACTTTAACAGCAGAAGCCTGTATGCCGACTTCACAGTATCAAAGACCATCTAAAGCAATTGAAACAGAGCTTTAACATAATCGCAATAACAGAAACTTGGATAAACAGTGAAAAAGAATCAGGTTTTAGAATGGAGCTATATGAAATGTTTTCTATTAACAGAGTTAACGACAGTGGGGGTGGTTTGATACTATATGTGGATAAGGATTTAAATTACAATGGGATGGAAAAATGGTGGTGAATAACTTATTGGAATTTGTCACAATAGAAATATGTATGGAAAATATTATTGTTAGTTGCATATACAGGTGACCAGGTTCAAATATTAACACTTTAAGGACTGGATGGAAGAGACATTAACAAAAACGAGCCAAAAAGTTATGTTCATCTGTGGGGGCTTCAATATGGACTTGTTAAATCCAAATAACCATAAAATGAAATTTATCAACACTGTGTTTAGTCTAGGCCCCAATCCCAAAATGACCAAACCCAGCTGAATTACTACTCACTGTGCAACGCTAAGAGACAATATATTTACTAATACATACATAACACAGTAAGTGGATTACTAATAAACGACATCAGTGACCACCTTCCCATTTCTACAGTTTATGACAGCAACTAAAGTCTGAACAGACATGATAATAAACCAACTTCCAAAAGGGTCAGGACAGAAGAGACAATGGAGACGTTAAAAGTT